CATGGAGGAGGAGCGTTCATCAGAGAGATTCGCACAATTAAACAGGCGGTTTACTGAGGAGACAGAACCTCCTGTAGCACAGCCAGAGATCTCACCAAGTGTTGGAGGCCCAACGAGAATCCAGAAATGAGACCCTGAGGAGATGTCAGAGAAAGAAGATGAGACTTGGCAAAGCAGCTGATAGTTTCCCTGAATATGTGATTGGCTAGATCTTGGATCTGGGAAGGTTTCCTCTGTGCTTTTCTGAGCTTCCCTTTTGGGTGCCCACGCCTCTCTTTGAAAGGGTTTGGTGTCTGTGAACCTAGACATCTTTCAGTAATGATTTAAGTTACTCAGAAAATTGGGGGCCCTGGAGTGAGAAAGGAAGAGAAGAAAGGAAAGGCGGGGGTGAAATCCGTTTAGCAGTGCTGTACTGTTTGATCTCCAAGACAGCAGGCAATAATGGAAGAAACCTGGGGCTGGAGGCTGGTCGGATTCCAAGTGGCGGTCTCCTCCACTGTTCGGACTTGCAGACTTCAAACATGACAGGGGGATTCCTGGAAGACAAAAGAATTCAGGGCGGGGGCTTGGATCTCAGTCAAAAATAACTTATATCTTCATCTCAGCCAGGCAAGGCGGCAGTTCTGAGCTGTTTGCAGGTTTCTCAGAAGACGGAGCTCCACGTGAGGAGAGGGGACTGTAAGGGTCAGTTTAGGGTTTGCTTCAGGGAGAGAAAGGGCCTTGAAGGGTGTGGGCCTGGCTGAGGAGAACATCAGAATGGGGAAACGCTTGTTGAAAAAGAGGCCCAAGTGGAGAGGTTCTGGAGAAAAAGTCACCCTACTTCCTGTTTACCCCGCCACCTCTTCTGAGCTGCCACTTACTTTGAGCCATAATTACAGACCTTAATGTTTCTTCCCTGGCTTCTCATTAGCTCGTATTGTCCACAAACAAACTCCTCGGTTCCCCTCAACCCACCTTCCTTCTCTCAGCAGTTCCTTCTGGCTTTTCTGGGTCACCAATGGCAGCCCCCACCCCAGGTTCAGAATATCAGAGCCTTAAAAAAAAAACTCTGTCTCTTGGTGGGTGCATCTTAGAGACTCAGCCCCCAAACAACTCTTCACTCCCTCCCTCCCTTAGCCTACTGGGCTGTAATTATAGGATTATCTAATTTTCTCTCAAGAGGCCAGGGCCTGGGTCTCATCTCCTTTATATTCTCGGCACCTCAGCCAGGGTCTGGCAAATAATGGACACTTGTAATGTGTTAGTTAAATTGCACTCTTGAGCTGCTGCCAACGTAATCTTCCTAAAATGCTGCTCCAGTTAGGAGCCACCACTGCTTCTCCATTGCCCACTGAGTGAGGTCTAACCCCCTCTGACTAGCACTCAAGGACTTTTGTGACATGGTTCTTACCACCTCGCCGTCCCCACTTTGTGCTCACCCACTTAGGTGTTCCCCACACAGTCAATGGCTTTCCTACCTTTGTGACTTTGCTGCAGTGGTTCCCTCCACCCAGAAACCCTTCCACACGCTCTCCCCCAAAGCTGCTCATTTTTCAAGGCTCATCTCAAAGTCATGCTCTTGTACCTCCCAACTAATTGCATTTAACCTTTTGGAGTTTGAACTGCTCTCTCCCAGGCTCTTAGCCTGCTCTGCATTGATTTACAGTGTCTTGTTAGGAACTTTAAAGAGGTCATGGGTGGGAGCACCTACAAGATGAAGAGCAAGGTATAAATGCCAAATCGGCCTTAGCTTGCTGTTATCTCCCACTAGACCCAGAGTTCTCTGAAGATAGAGCCCGTGTACGGTCACTGCAAGGCACCTACAAGTGCCTGGTGCATGGTAGCTGTTTAGTGAAAGTGAGTAGACACCATGCTCATTCCCTCCTCTGTCCCCTGAATGGCACAGGATGACCTGTCCATGGTTTGTCTTAGGTTGGAGTGTGACCAAAGCTATCAGATAGCCTGGCCATTCACATCCCTCAGGCCCCATGTCCCACAGCTTGCTGGGGAGCTGCCTAGTTGCAATTCCCCTGGGGCTGAGGGGTGGAATGGGCTGGCTGGCCAGGCTGAGGCAATACCTAGGGCAAAAGGTAAGAGTGTAGAAGGGAGGCTTCTGGTTAGAAGTCAGGAATTCTTTCTTAGGTGACTTTAAGGAACACTGCGAAAGTGGGGAGAGATGTTCCTAGGGCAGACAGAGGAACAAGATACTCTTCTGGAAAATTCTCAGATCCCTTCCTTGCTCCTTTATTCTAACTGCTGCTGTTCTCAGGACCTCTTCTTTGGATGCCACCTCTCATCTCGCTATGCTCAGGCCGATCTCCCTCCTGCCTGTCTTCTGCACTACAGCCCAAGGGATCTTTTTAAATATTATTCTCTTGCTCGCAATCCTGATGGCTCCCCATTGCCAGTGGGGTGAAGTCCAAGCTCTTTTCTCATGAAACTCTTCCAGCCCTCCCCTCCAGGCTTGGGCTTTTTATATTGGACACCTTGCTCTAATTTCTAGCCATGCCAAATTGCTTGTAGTTCCCCTCCCATATCATACTGCTCCACAAACCCAGTCTCTGCCCATGCTATACTCTCTGCCTGGAATGTCTCCCCTCCAGCTTTCCCACGTTGCCTGGTTTGGGGGGCACGCCTTTTGGGAAGCCCTCTTGGACCTATAGAGACCCCCCCCCCACTTTGGGTTTCTCTAACCCCTGGGCTTCCCTGGCTATCACACTCAATTAAACAGTTCCTGGAGTGTAGGGTCTGGATCTTATCCACCTCTGTATTCCCAAAGTTCTATCAATGACACTTAATAGCTCAATAAATGTTTAGAGAACTGAACTGAGCCCACTGAGGTCGCTTTCACCTGAGGGGATGACGGAGTGGGATATGGTGTTAAGAGCTGACCCTGGGCTGGAGAAGAAGCAGAAAACAAAGGGCAGCTGGGGTCAGGACACTGCCCAGGGCTGTTGGGCATCTTGGCAAAGTGATCAACCCCTCTCTGAGCCCTTCTCCGCACTCACCTGGGACTACCTACTCCCTGGCCCACTTCTCCAGTCCCAAAGTTCTAAGTGTAATATAGCCAGCACCCCGCATGGGTCATGCAGATGCTATCGGGAAGGTGGAGGAGGCAGTGACACTGACCTCAGGGCCCCATGCTGCCTCTTGTTTTTTCGGGCTTCATTCCACAAAGGAGTCAGCCTCTCTTCTGTCCCCTGAAGGCTGTTTTCAAAATCACACCCTAAGCAGACAGTTTTATTTACCAGGAAATCTTGGCAGGATCTTGACTTGTTAGTAGAGTAGAGATGGGGGGAGGGTGGTGAGAAACAAAAATAGTTGAAATGATCACACTTTCTGAAACCGAGATGAAAATTGGTGTCTGTAGCAAACTCACCTAATTAGAATGAAGTTAATTTCCTTCTCTTTGTTTAAGGGGAGCAGTCATTGTCGGATGAGATGGTCACAGGTTAGATCTGGAGCTGGGGGTGTTTGCTTTATGGACATGAAAGCATTAATTGCGACTTTCTTTGTTGGAAAAGAGCCTCAGTTTCTGAGAAGGAGAAAGAGGAGCAAAGAAAGGCCAGTGAATGAGTGAGTGGGTGGGCGATGAGAACAGGAGGGGAAGGGGACAGCCTTGGCGTGGGCTGGGGACTGACCAGCAGACTGGAACGCGTCCTCATGGGAGAGCCTGGCACCTGTCCCAGCCGGTCACTGGAACACTTTACAAACAGAACCTCTGATTCGGGGAGACAGTCTCTCCCAAGAGACAGCACCATTTTTTTTTTTTTCTTTAAAAGATCCCCTAGTCCTCTACTCTAACTTGATTACTATTTGCTTTAGTTTCTTTACCTCCCGTTTGGGGCACTTCCCTGGCCTTACCTCTGCCAGCCAGGTCAAATGAAGGCAGGGCACAGTAGGGAGGGCAAAATTTAGGCTTTGAAGTTTGGGACTCCCCTAGCTGACTTCTCCCATCCCTAAATTACTGAGCCTACCTGGACCTTCCAGAATCTGAGGCCTAAGTGAGGTGAAATTAAAGGTGGTCCGGGATCCCATCCTCTCAGCATTCGGCCCCCCAATTCATTCCCAGTTAACCCCGACGTTGCCAACTTAATGAAACCTCTTGCCTCCTTCACGCATCTGCTGCCTCCAACCGATCGTTAACCCGATGGGTCTCAGGAAGTGGGCACTGCAGCCCCGGCCCGGCGCGGAGACAAGCCCGGACCCCGGACGGAGGCGGGTGGAGAAGGGGCCGGGATCAGCGCAGCCCCATCCCTGCGCCGGACCGTGCAGCCACTTGCTCGCCCAGCCCGCCCAGCCCGCCGCAGCCCTTCCGCGATCCCGTGGCCGCAGTGCTCTGA